GGGGGGGGGGGGGGGGCGGCCGGAGGCTTTTTTGCCTGGGGCGGCAAAAAAGCCAGAGCCAGCCCTGCTAGGCACTGTATAAACATAGAACAAAAAGATGGCCCCTATCTCAGAGAGCTTATAAGACAAGAAAACAGTGAGATAATCCTGACCAGCCTGGCCCAAAGGACAATTGCAGAAGCACTAATGAGAAAAATTAATGTAGAACAAGCAGGGGACACAAACGGATCTGCTTCCCATGCTCCCTACACACAGGACACACTATGCTGTGACAACCAAAGCACAGTGACAAGTGTTTTCATCCCTCAGAAGGCCACAGCTTAGATAGACAGATCCTTGTTTGTTACCAAGATCACTGAATGACTCCCCAGATAGATGGCAGCCAACCCCAATCTGGTATCCTGCTCAGCGGCATGTCACACTTACAAAGTCCACCCGGTCCTCAGCAAGCCAGTGGAAGCACTTGAGGAACAGGAGGAGGGTGAAGAGGGCCACAAAGCGGGGACTGAAGTCATCTCTGAAGACGGTGAAGGCCAGGCAAGTTTCCGTGACCGCATACCATGATCTCTCAAGTAGGTGCTGAGAGAGGAGAGAGAGAGAGAGAGTTAACAACACTGTCCCAGTTCCCCACATACCACTCATCTTAGTTCTCAGTACTGAAGGGAGGAGAAGGAACTTATTCTTTTATGTCCCAATTTTTAAAGGAAAGCATTTTCTTTTGCACTCCACCACTTTCCCTCGGAGGCTCTCAGAGCACTTGGGTATCAAATTCTGTACCACAGTTCTGTAAAATGGGGTAACAGCAATGCCTTGCCTCACAGGGATGTTGGGAGGATAAATACACTCAAGACAGATGCTCAGACACTCTGGTAACAGGGGTCATGCAAGTACCAAAGATAGATATGATTTTATGCTCAGCATCAAAATCCCATTTAACTTACAATCAATGCAGCTCTCAGAGCAACCCGCTGCTACTGTGTACCTTCGTCACCCAACATAAGATTGTGCTGCAAGTAATCAGTTACAACTGCCAGAGGCCTCACTCACCTCCATTTCTGCTGCTCGGAGCTGGCCAAAAAACACTTTCCCCATGAATTTGCCCAGGAGGAAAACCAAAACGAAAGCCTGAATGTAGAGAACCTGCAGGGAAGGGAAAGGGAGAGATTGAACCAAAAGAAACACTCACATACCACATACTTATGAACCAAACCAGACCAAAAGAAAAGGCTGGCGAGAACAATCCTGCAGAACCCCTTCTGGCCTAGATCAGACCTTCCCATCCTTAAAGTCTATGATTTACAACACCCAAGGGATCTACTTTTACCAGTTATGACTGTCCTCTGTCCACTTTCAAGGCACATAACACTTTTCCCATCTTATTTCCCATCCCCAAGGAAACATACAGCTAGTTATCGATTAACCCCTTCACAACATTCTAATGCCCTTCAGGCTGTGTGAGATCTGTGTACCCTGGGGCCTGGAATTTGTATTTTGAAGGTACTTTGGTTACTGTGGAGAATTGGTGAGATGTACATATTTCTACCCCACTTGCACCTGCATGTTACTATGTACCTTAAAAAAGCCCAACTGAAAACAGATTAATGAGCCTTTCCAAATTTAGCTAGAATTTTGCAAGCCAGCTGTGGAGTCAGTTACATGCACACATACTTCTAAATATTTCCCACACTAAAGCAGTAGTTTGTTCCGAGTACTACTGGCTCAGCAACTGCTGTAGCGTGGAAGTGTTTGTTTTGGTCAACATACCCTGGGGGAATAGAAAGCAGAAGTGAACTGAAAAAAGAGCCACTGAATTACATTGATAAAGCGAAATGACTCATTTGAATGCTGTCCAGTGCTCCCTGAAGTAATTTGAGGGTAGGAGGAGAGGGACAGGACTCTGTCCATTCCCTAGCAGATGGATGCCAACCTCACATAGAAGTCACCATCACAGTTTGCACTTATTAGCATCCTTGCTGGAAGACTGAGTGGAGTGGTTAAATACACATTAGGCCATGGAGACAGAACTCCCTCCAGGCAGGGCTAAAGCCCACTGGTGGATCAGTATGGAATACTTGCCCTACTGCTGGCAATGTTGTACCTATCCTTGGAATAAACAGAGTGAGAGAGGCTCCAGAGCAGTCAATCCAGCATCTTTCACTGACACTGCATCTACTCAATTAAACAAAAGCACAAAGGAAGCCAATATTTCGACTAACTAGCAAGATTCATTTGGGACCTCAACTCCTGAGTCTCCAACTCAAGAGTTAATCAACCCAAGGATGAAATGAGACAGCCAGAGACTGTTCAGGATTTGGCTCTGCTCTGTATCAAAATAACCCTGGATTTCAGCTCTCTTGAAAATGTTATGTCCTCCGCTCCCCGTGTAAATGTAGAGGCACTGCATAACAAATTATTTCCAGGGATTGGAATACAGCACCGGTTAAAAGGACTGCGTTGACAGGAGTTTGCATTACTGCTGCTCCTGTTTTTATACCACATCCCACCAACATACCAGAGCCCTCCCTGTAAGAGGAAAGCTTAAATTCCATGTCACACTCAATTCACACTCCCTCTGCTGATATTGACAGTAAGGGGGACACAATTAGTGCCAACTGTGCAGGGTTAATTGCGGCTTGGATTCTCAAAGTGGGTAAGGCCCCATGAAACTCATTCCACTGATCAGCACCAAACAGGAATGACTTTCACTAACTACCAAACTGGGAGTTCAAAGATTAGCTCTCATTACCAATCCCCCGGAGACAGGTCACTTCCACATGGCTTTGGATGGCCACTGTAGCAGTGCAAGTTAAATACCAATAGTTGACAGGCTGAGCCATTATCAGAGCAACCTGCTCTCCTCCCCACAACCTGGGCAGCCCATGGACTGCATACTTACTGCCATGCTGGGGCTGGATTTGGTCAGATACACCACTGTTGGGTAGAACTGGTGCTTCAGGTAATAGGCATGAGCCACTACCACCGATGTCAGAGCCAGGCTAGCAGCCATCATGATTGCCGTTCGGAACATCTCCCCAGCCCAACGACCTGGGAGAGGGAAGACAGACATGAGCATATGGTTTAGAGATATAGAATAAAGCCATAGCTGCCTTCACATCACCTAAGGCAACAAAAGAGCCACCAAATTTGCATTGGAAGGGGTCAGTGGATCATTGCTGTACTTAGTTTGCTGCTTCTTGGCTTAAAGTTTTCATTACATTCCCCCTCTCCATCTGCTTTGTTCTTGGCCTCCCATACTGGTAAGTTCCCACCAGGCCATGGACTTTGTCTTCCGATATTTGTCTGCAAAATGCCTACCAAACACTAGGTGATCACACAGCAAACTTCCTTTAACCTGGATGTAAATAGTTATCAAAGGATACCAAAGCACTTTACAAACAAAAGAATCATTCCATGCAGCCACCTCCGGGTGGGACAGTGAAGCTCTTAAACAGCCACACAGCACCAATGAGCAATAGTTTATGACTGGGAGCAAAGAACAAGTCAACCAAGAGATTGGTTCTTGGCCCTATGATATTAAACATTTTTATCAATGACTTGGAGGAAAACATTAAATCATCACTGAAAGTTTGCGGCTGACAAAATTTGGGGAAACGGCAATTAATGAAGAAGATAGGTGAGGTCACTGATACAGAGCAATCTGGACGATGCATATTTTAATACAGTTAAATGTAAATATTAGGGCTGTCAATTCATCGCAGTTAACTCATGCAATTAACTCAAAAAAATTAATCACGATTAATCGCACTGTTAAACAATAGAATACCAATTGACATTTATTAAATATTTTGGATGTTTTTCTATATTTTCAAATACATTGATTTCTAGTACAATACAGAATACAAAGTGTACAGTGCTCACTTTATATTATTTTTATTACAAACATTTGCACTGTAAAAAATGATAAACAAAAGAAATAGTATTTTTCAATTCACCTCCTACAAGTACTGTACTGTAATCTCTTTATTGTGAAAGTGTAACTTACAAATGTAGATTTTTTTTTTGTTACATAATGGCACTCAAAAACAAAACAATGTAAAACTTTAGAGACTACAAGTCCACTCAGTCCTACTTCGTTTTCAGCCAATCGCTAAGACAAACAAGTTTGTTTACATTTACGGGAGATACTGCTGCCTGCTTCCTCTTTATAATGTCACCTGAAAGTGAGAACAGGCTTTTGTTCTTATGGCACTTTTGTAGCCAGTGTTGCAAATTATTTACGTGCCAGATATGCTAAACATTCGTACGCTCCTTCATGCTTCGGCCACCATTCCAAGGACATGCTTCCATGCAGATGATGCTCGTTAAAAAAAAAAAAAAAAAAAAAGAATTAATTAAATTTGTGACTGAATTCCTGGGGGGGAAACTGTATGTCCCCTGCTCTGTTTTACCCGCATTCTGCCATATATTTCATGTTATAGCAGGCTTGGATGATGACCCAGCACGTTTGTTTTAAGAACACTTTCACAGCAGATTTGACAAAACGCAAAGAAGGTACCAATGTGAGATTTCTAAAAATAGCTACAGCACTCGACCCTAGGTTTAAGAATCTGAAGTGCCGTCCAAAATCTGAGAGGAATGAGGTGTGGAGCATGCTTTTAGAAGTGTTAAAAGACCAACACTCCAATGCGGAAACTACAGAACCCGAACCACCAAAAAAGAAAATCAACCTTCTGCTGGTTGCATCTGACTCAGATGATGAAAATGAACATACATCGGTCTGCTCTGCTTTGGATCATTATCGAGCAGAACCCATCATCAGCATGGACGCATGTTCTCTGGAATGGTGACTGAAGCATGAAGGGACATATGAATCAACGCATCTGGCACGTAAATATCTTGTGACGCCGGCTACAACAGTACCATGCGAACGCCTGTTCTCGCTTTCAGGTGACATTGTAAACAAGAAGAGGGCGGGATTATCTCCTGCAAATAGTAACCAAACTTGTTTTGTCTGAGTGATTGGCTGAAGTAGCACTGAGTGGACTTGTAGAATATAAAGTTTTACAGTTTTATTTTTGAATGCAGTTATTTTTGGACATAATTCTACATTGTAAGCTCAATTTTCACGATAAAGAGATTGGACTACAGTACTTGTATTAGGTGAACTGAAAAATACTATTTCTTTTGTTTTTTACAGTGCAAATATTTGAAATAAAAATAATATAAAGTGAGCACTGTATACTTTGCATTCTGTATTATAATTGAAATAAATATATTTGAAAATGTAGAAAATATCCAAAATATTTAAATAAATGGTATTCTTTTATTGTTTAACAGTGCAATCAATCATGCAATTAATCGCGATTAATTTTTTTAATTGCCTGACAAGCCCTAGTAAATATACACATCCAGGAATAAAAAAATGTAGGCCATACATATAGGATGGGGGAAGCAGTGGCTGAACAAATTTTTGGATTCATGGTGGATGATCAGCTAAATGAGAGCTCCCACTAGGACACTGTGGCCAACAAGGCTAATGCAATCCTTGGATGCATAAACAGTGGATTATTGAATAAGAGTAGAGAGGTTATTTTACCTCTGTATTTGGCACTGGCGTGACCACTGCTGGAATACTGTGTCCAGTTCTGGTGTTCACAGTTCAGCAAGAATGTTGATAAATTGGAGAGAGTTAAGAGTAGAGCCATGAGAATGGTTAAAAGATCTGAAAACATGCCTTATATGATAGATAAGATAGGCTCGAGGAGCTCAATTTAACAAAGAGAAGGTTAAGGGGTGACTTGATCACAGTCTGTAAGTACTTAGATGGGGAATAAATATTTGAGAATGGGCTCTTCCATCTAGTAAACAAAGGTCTAACACAGTGGTTCTCAAACTTTTGTACTGGTGACCCCTTTCACACAGCAAGCCTCTGAGTGCAACCCCCCTTATAAATTAAAAACACTTTTAAATATATTGAATATTATAAATGCTGGAGGCAAAGCAGGTTTTGGGGTGGAGCCTAACAGTTCGCGATCCCCACGTAATAACCCCATGACCCCCTGAGGGGTCCCGACCCCCAGTTTGAGAACCCCTGGTCTAACATGATCCAATGACTGGAAGCTGAAGCTACACAAATTCAGACTGAATAAGGTGCACATATTTAACAGTGAAGACATTTAATCCATGGAACAATTTACCAAGGGTTGTGGTGGACTGGCAATTTTTAAATCCAGATGGGACAAATTTCTGAAAGATCTGCTCTAGGAATTATTTTGGGGAAGTTCTATGGCCTGTCATACAGAAGGTCAGACTAGATCAGCGGTTTTCAAACTTTTTTTCTGGCGACCCAGTTGAAGAAAATTGTTGATGCCCATGACTCAACGGAGCTGGGGATGAGGGGTTTGGGGTGTGGGAGGGGCTCAGGGCTAGGGCAGAGAGATGAGGTGCAAATGAAGGGTTCAGAGTGTGGGAGGGGGCTCTGGGCTGGGGCAGGGGTGCAGGAGAGGGTCAGGACTCTGGGCTAGGGGTACAGGCTCTGGGGTGGGCCCAGGGATGAAGGGTTGGGGGGGGCCTCAGGGCAGGGGATTGGGGCGCGGGCTTACCTTGGGCGGCTCCCGGTCAGCAGCGCAGTGGGGGTGCTAAGGCAGGCTTCCTGCCTGTCCTGGCACCGCACACCGTGCTGTGCCCTAGAAGCGGCCAGCAGCAGCTCCAGCTCCTAGGCGGAGGCGCACAAACGACTCTGTGCAGATCTCGCCCGCAGGCACCACCTTCCCAGCCAATGGGAGTGCGGAGCCGGTGCTCAGGGCGGGGGCAGCACGCGAAGCCCCATGACCCCCCAACTGCCTATGTGCCGGACCTGCTGCTGGCCACTTCCGGGGCGCAGCGCAGTGTCAGAACAGGTAGGGACTAGTCTGCCTTAGCCAGGCAGCACCGCTGAAGGGATTTTTAACGGCCTGGTCGGCAGTGCTGACCAAAGCCGCTGTGACCCAGTGCCTTACATTCCACAACCCAGTACTGGGTTGTGACCCGCAGTTTGAAAACCACTGGACTAGATGATCACAATGGCCCACTCTGGCCTTGAAATCTATGAATTCTATACGCTGTCCATCTAGAGAAGTCTTGTTAATGTTTTTTCTCAAACTACTATGCAAACCTCTGTGGTAAAATTCCCACTGATATATGCCACATGACAACATTCAATACCCTGATTAATAAATATTAATACCACCTAGTTCTTATAACACTTTTCATCAGTAGATCTCAAAGTGGTTTACAAAGGAGGGACAATATTATCCCCATTTTATAGATGGGGAAACTGAATCACGGAAAGGTGAAAGTGATTTGCTCACAGTCACCAACAGACCAGTGGTAGAGCCAGGAACGGAACCCAAGTATCCTGAGTCCCAATCTGTTCTATCCCTGAGGCCACACTACCTCCCCACACTGATTAGCACCTTGCATCCAAGGTTCTCAGAGTGTCATATGAAAGAGGGGACATTATTCACATCTTACAGATGGGGATAAAAGCACATGACCCACGGGCACAAAGCAAGTCAGAAGAAGGATGGTTCTGTAGTTATGAAGCACCAGATTGGGACTCAGGAGATCTGGATTCTATTCCCAGTTCTGCCATTGACTTGCTGTGTGACCTAAGGCAGTGGTTCTCAAAGCCGGTCCGCCGTTTGTTCAGGGAAAGCCCTTGGAGGGCCGGGCCGGTTTGTTTACCTGCCGCATCCGCAGGTTCCGCCGACTGCAGCACCCACTGGCCACAGTTCGCCACTCCAGGCCAATAGGGGCTGCAGGAAGGGTGGCCAACACATCCCTCGGCCCGCGCCATTTCCCGCAGCCCCCATTGGCCTGGAGCCACGAAATGCGGCCAGTGGGAGCCGCGATCGGCTGAACCTGCGGACGCAGCAGGTAAACAAACCGGCCCAGCCCGCCAGGGGCTTTCCCTGAACAAACGGCGGACCGGCTTTGAGAACCACTGACCTAAGGCACATCACTATCATTCTGTACCTGAGTTGTAAATCAGGAATAACAATGTTTCCTTTTCTCTCCCATCCTTTGTCTTTTTTTAAGTTAGACTGTACACTTTTCAGGGCAAGTATTCGCTCTTACTCTGTGTATAAGAGCAACTAGCACAATGTGGCCTTGAGGCACTAACGCAATAACAAATAATAAAATATGCCAGTAGCAGTCAAAGGAAGAGAATTAGCTCTCATGCTCCCCAGAAGTCTCTGCTCTAGCAACTAAAGAGCATTCTCTCTCCAGAGTCAGGCATAGAACCCAGAATTCCATCTCACAATCCTCCAGCTACCAGAGCAGACTGAGAGACACCCGTGCTTTCTGAATGTTTAAATACTCAAGTCCAATTAGCAGCATTCCTGTGCTAGAACATTAAAGCATCATATTATAACAAAGCAAAACACTGACACATAAGAGTGAACATAAAGCAGTTCCGTGCTCTAAGGCTGTCACACATTTCACAAGTAGGGCGGTGGAATTTTAGTTAGCCATTCAGATTGCTTCTTTGGCCATATCTTGCCCCTTTTAGAAAGTTATTTATAAGATGAGTTTTTGAGACCACATCTTTCTCTTCGCTTAAGTTTCAACCAGAACTGGTTTGTCCCCTAAACCTGTGAATTATAATCGCCATGTTTAGATTAAGATAATTTAAACTATATAAAGCAGATGGCAGAGTAGTGGTTAAAATGTTAGACGACAGTTTCTGAGCCTGCACATGACTAGCTACTTAGGTTACTTTAACAGTGGAGTTACATGCACACCCTTCATTTCAAGTAGCTTATAACAGAAATGCTGACAGCTTGTATCCATTCAAGTGTCAGGGAGTACCACTTGGAGATTCTTATACGGATGTCATTTCCATGTCCCATACTAAACAGCTTCAGTCAGCCTACCTTGCATTAAAACAATTTAGTTCTTTAAATACTTATGTGCTAGAAGTGGATCTTTTATAACACCAAGTTCACGAATATATTTTACATTTCATTAGTGCCTTTCACACCAAAGGCCCTGGAAGCACTTCACTGACTATACATTATTAATCCTGTATATTACAGTAGTGCCTACAGGCCAACCAAGAATGGGGCTCCATTATGCAGGGCATTGTACAGAGTAGTCGATAGACCCTGCCCCAAACAGCTTACAGTCTAAACAGATAGAACAGATGAAGAGGGTGGGAGAGGGAGAGCATATGACAGACAGACCCAGAGCATCTTTGAAAGCACAGCCAATGCGGAGATGAAGGGATAGAATCATAGCTGGCACAGTGTGTTATGAGGGGGTTGGACAGGTGAATCATGATCAAAGACTCTCCAACAAGTCACCTTTGTTGCAGAAAGTATTAGGAGTGATTAGGTGGGATCTATAGTTTCTATCCTGAGCACACAAGACCTTGTTTGTAGACAGCATGAATCGAGATGGGAAAGCAAAGAAGTTACATACTTTGGAAAGGGAATTGTTAATTTCTACGTGAGTTGCTTCAGAAGTTCTGTCCCATCATTTTTAATATTGAAAGAAAGGGAGGGTATCAATTTCCTTAAGGGTCTCTTCTCCCCCAGTCTATATGAGTGACATCAAAACACACAAGAATCCCCACCACCTCCGACACTTTCAAGGGAGCCATAAAAGGACACTCTCCATCCATGTGAGCTCTACTACCCCTCTTAGCATCTTTGCCCCCCCTTCCCCCAACGAGAACAGCTCAGGTCCCCAACAACTACTTAAATCCCAGTACTCCCCTCCCAGCTTCTCAGATACCTCCTACTACACAGGCTCTAACTTGCCCACTCCACCCACCACCACCCCAAAAATCCACCTTATTCAGGTGCCCAGGATCGAGCTCCGGTCTCACGTACCACCTAGCCAGCCCACCCAGATCCGATCTCCTCTTCTCCAGACCTTCCAGCACCCCCCTCGCTCCCTATGTCCCTCAGGTTTCAGCTCCTCCCCCAAGCCCCTACGTCCCCCAGCAACCCCGCTTCCCACTGTTCCTTCCCCAGGTTTCAGCCCCTCCCCAGGCCCCCTTGTTCCCCAGCTCCCTTGTACCTGCTGCACCCCCCAATCGGTCCATCGCCCGGTCTCCCCGGCCCGGACTCACCAAGATCCGGGAGCCCCTCAGACTGCTGCACCCACCACCACAACCAGCTGCGCCTCCCCCCTCCCTCCGCCGGAAGTCCTGAAGCTAGGAGACACCTCACTTCCGTTTGGGATGTACCATCCGCACACATCCTAGTAACCCCACCCAATTCACCTCTATGGGGACTACCCCCAGTCACGCCCGGTGGTCTCGCCTCAGACCCTCCCTTATTTAGAGCAGCGAGCGGTACAATTCGAACACAACCAGCTCCCCCCTTTCAGGATGCAGCTGGACTGAATCAAATTCACAACTCCCTGCTGCCCCCCCGCCCACTTCTTCAGACGGTACGGTCCCAGTGTCTACTTGGTATCGTCCGCCTTCCACCGCTAAGGGGTGAAGAGGGTCCCGTGGCTCCTGCTGATTGGTCTAGCGTCATGGGTGTCCTCTAATCAGAAAAATCCCCAGCGCTGGCTAATGAGGAAGGAACAGTTGTTGCTAGGGCCGATGGGGCAGATTATAGAACAGACTTGTGGTGGACTCTGCGTTTGTGTAATGAGTTGGGTATGTTCTCATCCCAGATTCCGCTCTCATCACCTCCCCACCAGCTCTGGTCCAGGGTGAGGATGGTACTGTGGGACAATGGATGAGGGCACAAGAGTGGGAGCCATATCTGCCAGATTCTTTCCCAGTTCTAGGAGGGGCGTGGGGTCTATTGGGTTAGAGCGGAGTGGTGCTGGAAGTTAGGACTCTTGGGGTTCCATTTGTAGCTCCGGCACTGACTTGCCATGTGAGTGACCTTGGGCAAGTAAGCTCTGTGTGCCTTAGTTTTTCCAGATGTAAAATAGGCATAGGGATACTATGAGATAATGCTATGAGATCCTTGGATATCAGTCATAAATTTGACTGTAAAATTTCCTACAAGTCAAAAATATGCTGCACCCAGGCAATATGTGCTATAGTCCTGAAAGCATTAAGATGCAAAAGAGAGAGATCAGAGAGAATAAGTATCCTCACTATTCTGCATTTGTCATCTCCCTGCCACCATGGTAACAGATCTGACTCTGCCTTACTGTTCACTTGCATCAGAAAGTGAACACTTCTGTATCTGAGATGCTCAGTCTTTCCTGCAAGTAAAATCCTTCAGGGTGGGAATGTATTTGACTCAATTAAATGCAATTGTGTGACTCTATTATTGAATAAAATTATTGCAAAACAAACAACTTAGTGCCTAATTTTATTTGTGAGTTAATTTAGTGCTCAAGAAAGTAAGGCATATGCCTAGAGTTCTGGTGTGAACAGTTGCGCTTCCCTCATACAGTTAATTTCTCCTGATCTGTAATACCCTTCTAATCCCAGATTCACCACATAGCTCTGCCAAACCAATGTATCTAAAGATGGTTCTGCAGTACTGCTGTTCTAGTCTGGGAGTTTGCTTCAGCACTGCCCTTCACCTTGTGTAGTCATTTATACCAGTGCAAAGTGAGTTCAAAAGTGGGTATGTAAAATGCCACTGTTCTAATTCGGTAGCAAATTATATCCACCACTCGTGTAAATGTCTAAGTAGTGCTGGGCCCCTGTTCTCACTACACACAGTTTTGCTAATACATCTCAGTCTTATCCCACAGTACTGGCTGATTTTTCAGTCCAGAGCTCCCTTGAGCTGTGACTGCCAAATATGCTTGCAATGCACACAAATAAGGCATCAAGTACCTTTTCACTTGTGACCTAAGCTAAAATTTGAACCCATGTGCATAGAATTGATAGCCTACTACATTAACCTGTTGTGTTTCAGGCCTTGCAAATGCCTTCCGTCAGGTTATTTATTTATTTATTATTATTATAGCACCTAGGAGCCCCAGTCATGGACCAGGACCCCGTTGTGCTAGGCACTGTACAAACAGAACAAAAAGACGTTGCCTGCTCCAAAGATCTTCCAATCTAAGTATAAGATATGAGACAACAGATGGATACAGACAGACAGGGGAGTATAAGGAAACAATTAGACAATATTGGTCAGTATGATGGAGACTGTAATCTGAATTTTAAGGGCTAAGTAAAGTAAAATTGGATGGCAGGTATGTGTGTAAAACTGGGCATCGGGTGTTTCTTTGCATGTGCTAAACTGAATGGCGGATGTGTGTGTTAATCTGAAAGGGTGTGTATGTATTTAAGACTGTCTGGAAGCCAGGTGTATGTGCTTTAAAATGGATGACATGTAGGTATGTGTGTGTGTTAAAGTGGATGGCAGGTTTTTCTGTTAAACTGTATGGCAGGTTGTGGACTTTGACAAGCTGGCAGTTGTGTGTGTATTAGACTAGACCGTAGCTGTGCATGCCATGCAGGGAGCTTGAGGCTTTGTAGCTCACACAACTATGTCTGATAATCTAGTCACTGCACTGGTCTTGGTGTGTTGTGCTTCCTGAGCCCCAATGAGGCTTTGTTTTAGCTGTCACCCTCATCACTGCAAAATAACAGGGACATTTGGACAAAGGATGGGAGGTCCAAGCTGGTATGTGACTTGCCACACATTAGGGTCACATGGTGAGTTGAGAATGTATCCTAAGAGTCCTGACTCCATTGTGCTAAATGTGGGCTGATTTCACCATGCTCTGACACACAAGCTCCTATAGGAAGTTATATTCACAGGTGTCCCTATAATAAATATCCCTTGAGACTTATTGGCCAGGGGTCTGAATAGCTCCTACACACCTTATCAGAATCCAATAAAACCCAGGAGTCCTGACTCCCAGTTGTATAGGGTGACCTGACAGCAAGTATGAAAAATCGGGACAGGGGGTGGGGGGTAATAGGAGCCTATATAAGAAAAAGCCCCAAATATCGGGACTGTCCCTATAAAATCAGGACATCTGGTCACCCTACAGTTGTACTAAGTGTGGGATGGGGGCAGCTTGACCTGATATACATGCTCCTGTAGGAAGTTATGTTTGCAGGCAACCCTATAATAAACACACAATGAGAGTTATTGGGTGGGCCTCAAATAGACCTCCTGGAGCCCAGAGTCATGCGCAGCGTAGCCTAGCCTATCCTCTCAGCAACACCCCTCCTCCCAATCCCCACGGGCTAATAGGGACTGAACTCCCTCCTCTGACGTCCTGCTCTTTGATTGACGGGGGTTTGCAAAGAGGCCGGTCTAACCATCGCTGATTGGCTATGAGCTGGCAGGGTTGAGCCTATAGAAGCCAACAGTGGGTAAGTGGGCGGGGTAAGGTTGATACTACCCCTTCGTGATTGCTGCGCGCGTGCGCGCTGCTGGGTTACTCTGCTCAGGTGAGGGGCGGGGGGGAGGCGGGAAAAGCAGTTGGTAGGGAGGGGCCACAACGGGAGGAGTAGCAGCCTCTCCCTCCCTTCCCCTCACACTCACCCCATGGCCCCCTATGGGTAACGGGGGTGAGTAATAGGTATTAACCATTCCCCATATTAAAATGGGGGGGTAAAGTGGAGGCTCATTTGACTGGAAAAGGGAATCCTTGTTCTTCCTCAAGATGGTGCCTTATGTCCCCCCCTCCCTGAGGGGATGAGTGAGGCACCAAGGTGTGTGTGGGAGGGTCACCCCATATACTGAGGGTGTAGTAGTGGCCCCATGCACTGATGTGGTAATAATGCACCAGGTGGTTTGGGGGGGTTAATGGTAACCGCTGAAATGCCCCTCCTACAACCCTCATGCCCCTGCTGTAATGGGTGGGGGGGGTGTAAAATGCCCCTGCATATCATTCCACTACACATACTGAGGGGGGTAACACTGTACCTGTGTGTGTGTATTTTGGGGTGTCTGTGTGTGTCAGAAGATCCCCAATCATTCCCCTACCCTAAGAGGGAAATAAGGCACCAAGGCTCACCCACCCCCAAATACTCTTCTTATAGCCCCCGTGTAGACTAAGGGGATAGTGGGTCAAGCTGAGGGGTGAAATACAGATTGCTTGGTTTGTGCAAACTGTTTCCTCCCCTTTTCTTATGAACCCTACAACATTTGCCTGAAAGGCTGTCTTTTTGTGAATTAGATCTGCCCCATTTAATGTGGTGGCTTAGGCTCTCCACAAAGGTCCATGAGCCTAAACCTTTGTTTGATGTTTGTAAGCCCCAAAAATGGTTGGGTTTCATCTGTCTTTAGTCTAGTTCTTAAAAATAAACACAAAACAAGCCCAGATGTTGAAATCTGAGTTAAAAATCTTTCTTGCCCTAAGTCTGCCAATTGCATTAACCTGATGGGCTGAATTATGTGGTCAAAGTTTGGTGGCTTAGGTCCATGCAAAGCCCAAAACTTGCTTTAATTCCAAGAAGCCCAGGTGTTGGGTCAAAACTGCCATGTGTCATGTGGTACTGGCCCCAGGTCATTCCAAACTGGATACCATGATTGCTAAAACTGGCAATTGTGACCTCTACAGTAAATAGTTCATAACAAAAATATGAAAATGGATCACTTCTGTTTCATTTGAGGTGTTGAAAAATGAATCAAATGGAGCGGGGAGGAAGGTTGTATGTCTAAGTAGGTACTTAAAATGGCCAGCTAGGCTGTGGCTAGATAGCATGCCCATTAGTTAAAGCAGAGGGGTTCCATTCTATTACCAGCTCTGGAATGGAGTGTTGACTAGAGATTAGAGCACAGAACTATGCATTGGAATGCCCAAGTTCCATACCTTATTCTAAGACTTGGAGCAAAGTTGCTTCACGTCTCTGTGCCCCAGTTTTTTCCTCATCTGTAAAATTGGGATAGTGTTTGCACTTGAAAAGGGCTGCAGTATATAATGGCAACATGTACTGCTTGATTGTTTCAGAGTTGCAGGATCTGACTTCATAGTAGTAGAACTACCAAGTGATATCCTGCATGGAGGCATTTTGGTGACTTAGAAATTATTTGGTATTCCAACTGTCTTCAGAAATGTATATAATTAAGGCTAAAAAAAGATGCAAGGATTAGACCATCAAATTGTTTTAATAGTGTGTGCCCTGAAAATGATTCTGGGAACTTTAAGGTTAATTAGTGGTATTCTTGGGATTATTCTTACACTAAAGGTTAGGAGGATGCTTTTAC